GCAGTATTGTATAATGTTACTGTTACTATGATTATTGTTTTTCTTTGGGGCTGTATGGCTGTTCCTGTGAACTATTGACTTGCTGATAGTTTTCTTGTTTTTAATCCTAATATGCAAGTTGCCTAAAGTTTCTTTGGGGATTGAGGTCGCATGGAAGTTGAAAAATAAAAATACAATTACTGCTACTACTATTACTCTTTTTTTTTTTTGTGGCTATATTGCTATTCTTGTGAACTATTGATTTACTTATAGTTTTCTTGCTTTTAATCCTAGTGTGTACGCTGTCTAGAGTTTCTTTTCTTTCTTTGCCTAGTGTTCCTGTTGAGGTGGCATGCAAATTAATAAATAAAACTCCTGAACACCAAGGTCTCTTATTGGTGTCCAGTGTCAAAATTAAAATAAAATGAATTGTTTTAATTTGATCAAGTAAAGTCAACTTTAGAGCCAGAGATACTGAAAAAATAGACAACCATTAAAATGCTTAACTCAGAGGTTCCTATTTATTTAATTAGGAAGATATATGTTTTAGTTAGGAAGATGGGTGCCATCAAATTAGGTTTGATTCATAGTGATTTCTTGGACAAATGCTTAACAGCTTAGTTCATAGCTCTTCCAAGATTCTGTCTATATTTTCTATTGTCTGGCTCTTCTGTTTTTCCCTCAGTCTTGTCAAGCATAATCCCCTCCTGTTTTGTGTGTTTTTACAGTTTTTTATGTGTAATTGTTTTCATGTATTTATTTTTTAATTGTACGCCACCCAGAGTCACCTTGTGTGAGACAGGCGGCTATATAAATATGATAAATAAATAAATAATCATTCTTAAAAGCCAAAAGCTGTTCAGAAATTAGTTTTCCTTCCCTTCCCTTCTTATCTCTCTTTGTGTTTATGAACTGTGATATGGAATTGTAGAAAGTGCTGTAACGAGGCATTTGATTTACGTTTCTCTTAATGGAACTTTGTAAACGATCTTCTTTTAGAATTTGAGACTGCTGCCAGCGCGATAATGCACCATGGGACTGGTCCACAAAATGCACAGCGCCAGCTCCAGCGGTCCCGTTCCTTCACCGGCAGCGAGGGGGAAGATCAGCAGGCAAACCTACCACAGTCTCCAGCGCCTTCCTTTGCTCCTTCCGCAAGTCCTTCTGCGCCTCAGTCTCCCAGTTACCAAATCCAGCAGTTTATCATGAGCAGAAGCCCAGTAGCTGGGCAGAACGTGAACATCACCTTGCAGAATGTGGGACCTGTTTCTACAACAAACCAGCAGATCACGCTTACCCCATTGCCAATCCCAAGCCCGACATCCCCCAGTTTTCAGTTCAGTCCTCAGCAAAGAAGGTTTGAGCATGGGTCACCTTCCTACATCCAGGTTACTTCCCCACTGCCACCTCAAGTTCAGTCTCAGAGCCCCACGCAGCCCAGCCCGGTGTCTGTTCAGACCATTTCAAGCGTTCGGGCAGGTACCCCAGGGCCTGGCTTGGGGATGTGCAGCCAGAGTCCAACTCGTGGTTTCGTGGACGCGAGCGTGCTTGTAAGGCAGATCAGCTTGAGCCCTTCGAACAGCGGGCACTTTGTGTATCAAGAAGGGTCCGGCCTCACCCAGATTGCTCAAGGTGGCACGGCTCAGGTGCAGCTTTCATCCTCTGGCGCATCGGCCACGGTTAGAGAACGCAGGCTGTCCCAGCCCCATTCTCAGACTGGAGGTACTATCCACCATCTTGGACCTCAAAGCCCCGTAACTAGTGGAGGAAATATCCAACCTTTACCTAACCCTGGTCACATTACAACAAACAACCTACCACCGCAGATCAGCAATATCATCCAAGGGATGCAACAGCAGCAGCAAGGGCAGCCATTGAGCAGACCCCTTGGATTTGATAGGACTTCTGCTGGATTGATAGCTGGGGTAGGTGGGCCTGCTTTTGGAATTACATCACCACCACCTCCCACAAGTCCTTCTCGGGCGAGTATACCTCAAGGACTGACGAGCCTCCCTCTTGCACCGTCGGTATGTGCCGTGGTGAAAAAAGCAAAGAAAGTGGAGGAAATCCCGCCTGCTACTCCAGAAGCTGCTCAGATGAGAAAACAGTGTCTGGAGCACCACCTCAAGCAAATGGAGACTTTGAAAGATGCTTTCAAAGAGTATTTAATTGAGTTATTTTTCCTGCAACACCTGCAAGGGAATATGATGGATTTCTTAGCCTTTAAGAAGAAGCATTGCATGCCATTGCAAGCGTACCTTAGGCAAAATGACTTGGATTTGGAGGAGGAGGAGGAGGAAGAGCAGTCTGAAGTTATCAACGATGAGGTAGGAATTGCTTTTGTAAGTCTGCTAACACTGAGGGTACGTTAGATAGCGTTTTGAAGGCTGTGGCTCTAAGTGGACATACCTAAATGAAGTTGAATGAGAATTTTATCAGGGAGAAATATTGTTAGGACTAGATTGTTTGGCCCAGCAGTTAATCCATCAGTCTGCAATATTCATTCTGAATTATGGTATTAACGCTAATGTTGCAAGTAAGCGTGCAGGGCATGCATTTTGGATTGAGGTAAATTTAGAAGTGAGTTTTAATTCAGCTTTGAGGGGTCATTATAAAATGTTGAAGTTCAAGGAAATGGAGAAGTCGATGTGCGTAGTGATTGTTTCTTCAAAGAAACAGCAGAATACAAATGAGATAATGAAATGAATTGAGCCTGAAATAATTGTAAGTCTCGGTTTTTGCTTCGCTTTATCACATCACTTTATGATCTAAGATTTTTTTCTAGTTGCAACCCAAATGTATTGTCAGAAAAGACAGTTTTAATAAGGAATCAGTTGTTGTAGGCCATTTATTTATACTTGCGATCTCCAATATAGAGAGGAAGGTGGGGCAGAAGGTGGGGTGATCCAAAGAATTCTGTGGCTCTTCTACATATTTGCTGTGGAAGAGAAACATGTATAAATAATATATCACTTGGATGTAATTTTTGGATCCCGATTCACGTTTATTCATTATGTTTTTTAAAAGTTGCAAGTTGGTTACCCCAATCCAATATTTTCTTTGGGCTTTTTCAGTAAGACAATCAATCTCCAGCTTCTTTCTGAAAAATTGAAACAAAATTCTAATGTAATTCTGTGCATACTTTTTCAAGAATTATCTCTTGAATTTAGTGAGACATTGTTAGGTAATTGTATATAGGATTGCAGTCTAAAGTAGTTTGAATCATGTTGTCAACGTTTTATAAACTGGCCTGTGTTTATCTCTGTTTATTTGTAAAACCTGGGCATAAACTTTGCCATACTTTTATTTTGAACTTTCATTCAGCTCAGTGAATACGCTTTACACAATTCCACAGCTTAGAAACACTCCTCCTTTTTTGGGAGAGAAAGAAAAAAAGTCTTTGGCATTTTATTAATATTTTATATTCTGCAATTCCAGTTTGGAGCGTCATTCATTTAACAGAAAGTTGTTTTCTTATGGATACGGAACATTGTTTATTTCTGAGATACTTGTATTTTTTGGATTGAGGCCTTGTGAATTGACCCAGTTGCTATTAAACTTTGTTAAAGTTATGGAATATGTAGTTTTTGACTTGCAGATACCATTTCCTGAGAGAGGTTTAAATTTGTAAGATATGACAGATTTGGTTTTAATCAAAAATATTATAATTGTAGTGTTAGTAAACTAATGGTATGTTTGTTTCCATCATAACGGTAGTGGCTGTGGTCCTAAAAAACTAGGGATAGTGAATAGTGAGTAGGCTTTCATATTGGATGGGATTGTTCATTAGGCATAATAAATATTCAGAATGATGTAATTAGTGCTGCATCTCCATCACACGGGAAATTAATTACTTTGTACTGCTGAGTAATAAATAAAATAATAAAATAACCATTTAAGCCAGGAAAAGCTCTCACATCAATGTAATGTACCTTTGTTTGATTTTATATTCACAATATTTAGGCAGAGGCTCCATATTTTAAAAATAAGTATTACTGAGAAAGTCCCTTTAGAATCTATTCACCTGAGAAAAGTGAGGTGGCAAAAAAAAATTACATACTTTCTATGGACGAAATTAATTATACTCTTCTCTGTTCATTGTGATAATTTAAAAGGTGGACTTTTAACTGTTTCTCCCCTCAAGGTATCTTTTTTTAATGGTCCATTTGATTTATGCAGTTGTTGGATTTCTGTGACACACAGGCTTTTGCTTCCAGTTTTTAATTTTAACCTTTATTTGATTTAGTTGTTTTTTAGTTGGACTGGACAAGTGCTCTGTTTTTTGTTGTTTTTTTAATCTCTATGATGCTCACTGAGATATCCAGATAAACGTTTCTTACACGTTTATGCTCATTTTGGGAAATCTGTTTATAGGGACAGTAGAGGGAGCCAAAAATTGGTCTAAATGGATTTAGGGAAGGCTGTTACAAAACCACGAAAAACTGTCTTCTGTGACCAGAAAATGGTAGTGTGTCAAACTTTGACACATAAGGCACTCCAGTGTCTCTTCCTTCCTTTGTATTTTGTGATGTTCCTCTCTTATCTTCATCATCTTCTGCTCAGCTAAAGCAGTGCACTTCATCCCTCGGGGCTGACCGTTATGGGACTGGTGATTGGCAGGGTGGGGGGGAATGGGAGGTATGCTCATTGCTTAATAAATGTCTGGGGCTTTTCTGAGTGTGAACTGTCTGTCATGCTAATGTTGTTGTTTGTTAGAAAGCCAAGATCTCAGAAGTTAACCTCCGCTAATGTCTACGTTCAATTTCAATATAGACTTTTGCATGGCAAGAGAAAAAGACATTGCCGCTAGTTTGTCCCTCACTCTGTTTTGCTATTTAACCACAAAGCAGAACTCTTTAAAAAATAATCAGGGTTAAATGAAATTACACGGATGGGCCTTTTGTTCTCAACCCCATTGCTGTAATGCAAAGTGGGGTGTGTTCATCAGATTTTTTTAAAAAGAAAAGAATGAAAGAAAATGATTTCCCTTTTTGTTTTTCCCCAAAATATCTTCTCTCAGGTAAAGGTTGTGACAGGAAAGGATGGGCAGACTGGTACTCCTGTTGCTATAGCAACCCAGCTTCCTCCAAATGTTTCTGCTGCTTTTTCAACTCAGCAGCAACCATTTCAGGTACCTTTTCAATGGTTTTAAACTCATAGTTTCATCCCAGATGATGATGATGATGATGATCATTATTTTTCCTCAGTCAGATTTGGTATTTGAGAGTGGAATCTGTTTTTTTCCCCAAGAGCCCATCCCTCCTCATTTTCTAAAAATGAGCAATAAAACATTTAAACTTTTCAAATGCATGAGTGTTCATGGGATACCGAGGAAGTTTTTTTTTAAAATTTATTTTCCTTGTCTCAAAGTGCTGGCTTATTTCATTAACTTTCAGCTTTTAATGTGTTCCACTTTGGTTTGCTTGTCCTTTGGTTCCCTTGTATGTTCTACCTGGTAACTGTGGGTCTCTCTCTGTCTGTGGATTCTTTCTAAAAATCCTTTTGGGGGCATGGTGGTGGTCCTCAAATGCTCAAATACAAACATGACAGGTTTGCAACTGTGCCTTCCTTCTTTCTGGTCCAGGTGAAGCTAGCACACTTTATAAACATACAGTCTGACGGCATGCTAATTTATTGCCAAATGTATGCATTACAGAATTGCTGGATTAATTGTAAGTGCCATGAAACAAGCGTGGGGTTCATGGCATGTGCTGCAAATAATACCTTGATTCAGTACTAATGACAAACCATGGTTGAGTGTTACAAGAAGGAGCCTTTGCAAATCTTGGACCGGGAGTTTCCCTTCCTCCTGCAACAGGAGATGGATAGTTTTGGCATTTGGATTTTAGAGAACGAAGTTCTCTAATCTTGTTTGCTCTTATCCAGGCCAGGGAGACTTTTGGAATTTTGAGAGCATGTACTGAGTGGGACTCACAAATGGGCTACAATGAGACATTTGCCTGTCCACAAGCATGGCCAGGCCCAAAATATCCGTTTCCCAGCAGATGAGCCCCATACTCCCCCAGTGCTGGTCCATCATCCCTGTGGGACCTCTGGAATCTAGAATGTTTTAAATAAATATTTAAAAGATATTTAAAATATCACATGGGGCCCCTAGACATTTTAAAAATAGCACCATGGAGAATCTAGTGTGCATCAGTAGAAACGTCAGGCGATGTTGCCTTTCTCTGCTCTGTTTACTCAGTTGAGTTAGAATAACCTATTGCTTCCAGAATTCAGAAGCAACAGAGCTCTGATTAGTGCAGAAGCCTTTACAAAGGGAAAAGGGAGGTGAGATATGCTTTCCTAAGGTTTGTATCATTCTTGGAGTGACCAACCATTTGTTTTCAGTGTGTCTGAAATAGGCCTTGGTGATCAAGAATCAGTAGGGACTTTGGAGATCAATAATCAGTCCTTTGCTTAATGTCAATTCTCCAGTGCATAATGCACCCTTAATATGGCTGCTGTGGGCTTTAGAAAACACTTGTTGCGTCCCAGGGCTGCTCAGAGTCCTTATGAGTTGGGTGGCCTATAAATATGCTAAATAAATTAACATCAGATGAGCCCCCTTATGCAAATGAGTTTACAAAGCAACATACAGAATCTACTAGTTACTACTAGGGTGACGGGACCCCTATATTTGTAAGCCTTGTTATCTGGAGCAGTGCTTCCAAGTGATACATGCATTTCTTTACAAGGTCTTTAATGCTTTGATAAAGATAAATGCCCTTGTAGAAAATATCTGGAGCCTTTTCGTTTGAGGGAGTTGGGAGAACTTAACTGAAGGGGAATAAAGGGGATTAAAAAAAAATCTGTACTGTGTAGAAGTGGATGGAGAACAGAACTAGATCCCCCAATGAACTCGATGTGGCTTAGATACTGAATGAGTCAAAAGAAGCACTTCTTCCCTCCAAACTAGATCATGTCTTTAAAAGAGAATTAGTCAGAATGGTTTGTGGAGTAAGAGAGTTCAGGTGATGGAAGTTAACTAGAAGGTTAAACTGATGCTCCATGCTTAAGGCAAAACACTTCTTCCTTGGGAACCAGAATGGGGGAAAACTGTTGCCTTAGCATCCTGCAAAGTATTAAGTAGACGCTTTTAACTGCTTGTTGGAAAAATGAGGATGCTTGACAGGATGGGCATTTGATCTCATTTCATGGACACATCCCACTCTTCTAATGCATAGTCCCACTCCCCTTAAAGAAATGGCAACATTCATTGCCAAAAAAATGGCAAGATATGGAAGAGCTTCATGGCTGTATGTATAGGGGACCAAATGACAGTGGTTTAGAAGGAAAACAATCCAGTTGCATTGTGAACTGGATTGGACCCTATCTACGTAAAATTATTTCCAGTAATACTGTAATGGCAAATTGCTGAATGTTTCTTATACAAGGTATAGAAATTGGGAATAGGGCAGGTAACGTCAGTTGCACGATTATAGAGAAATAGGGAGAGAGAAAAAGTGTACTGGCTTTTGGAGAAAGTCACACATGTAATATTGCAAGTGTTAAGCTCTTGATGGATCTGTTTGTAATGCAAAATAAGTGATGGATTGTACTATAATGGTAGAAACAAGGTGAGAGATTGAGTTGCAAGAGAGGAAGTTTTTAGCATATTTTTGTGTTATTAGTTAGGAAAGAGAGACCCAACCAGTTGGCACGTGTATCTTGTTTCTGTAGCCTTTACATTGGTGATTTAAAGGATCGTTATAAAATGGATGCAAAGACAAATCGTAATCCTTGACAATAAAACTTAGCTCACAATCCTTCATTTTAAACTTTTTAAAAATGATGGTTAACTGCTGTTAAGAAAGCTGCCTTCGACAGCCTTTTGACTTTTCTGTTTTGTCTTACAATAGCAGGTGCATGCAGGGACTCCAGTAACGGGAACTGTGAATGCCATAGAAATTGAAGCCTTTAAGAGACAACAGGCACTTGCATCAGCAGGTATGGCCACCTTCGGCAGAACTTTTATGGTCCTTTTAGGGTCTCAACCCAAAGACGTTTTGACTAGCACTGCTTTAAACTGCTTTCCTCAGCTTGATCATGGTGCCAGAACCTTTGGCCAGTCTGTTGTGATGGAAAGTTCAGTCCATGTCATGTTCCCCTCTTGCAACCTCTGCGACTGCCCTGCGCTTCCACAATATTTATTAAAAAAGAAAAAAAGAAATCAAAATATTTCTGAGTTATCTTTTAGGGCCAAGCCCCTCCTGGTAGATTTGTAGATATCAAAAGCTAATCTTAAAACTCACGGGAGCACCGTTGTAAGCGTTATAACCTGAACCCCTTGTGCTCTTATCCTGCCGTAAATGGAATTTGAATATCACCAGATTCGTCTAAGAGACCCCGAATTGAAGTGGGCCGTCATGGGATGGTTTTTCAGCATCCGGGCGTGGCTTCAGGAGTCCCTCTTCAACAGCTTATGCCAACTGCACAAGGTACTGTGTTGCCACATGCCAGCCGCAGATTAATTTAGCAAGGGGGTGGGGTGGGGTGGGGGAAGCAGAAGCCTCCTTGGGTGAAGCCTTTTTGAGCTCTCTGGTCCTTCCCCCACCCCCTTGCAAATTAATGTTTGGTGTGAAATGGCTTGTTCATGTCAAAGGAGCTGGGGAGCGAGCTCGAGCGATGCATGCGGGCATGGAAAAACCAGTCATGCACATTGAGGCCAAAATAATTTGCTCTGGAGCCCTGGTAGTTTGTAGACAGGTGGTCCTTTTTTTTAATGAACCTTCATACATACATTTGTACTGCGTGTTTTGTTTCTGTTTTGTTTCATAATTACCTGTCAGCACCTCTTAAGCTATAGGACCTTTAGCTCCTTAGTCAATAATAAGCTTCATTTGCTTTACGTGTCTTGATTCCGTATGCAAAATCTTCTAATTCTGTGCCCGGTCAAGCTGCGTTGACGCTTGCCTTACTGGGGTTCTCCAGTGACTTTTAATTTACAAGTTTGTGAAGATGTTTTATTTAACTGACGTCGTTGACTGGCCAAGTAAGTATGAAGATGAACTTTCTATGTCCTCCCCATGCTCTGGCGTGCTACCAGTATAGGTTTTTGACCTCCGCCACCTTCATTTTTCTTCCCTTGCTTTGCAGGTGGAATGCCCCCCACCCCTCAAACCGTGCAGCTGACGGGACAGAAGCAGAACCAGCAGCAGTATGACCCCTCCAAAGGCCCTCCGGTGCAGAACGCGGCCAGCCTCCACACCCCTCCCCCTCAGCTGCCAGGGAGACTGCAGCCAGCCAACGTGCCCATCACCTCTCTTCCGCCCGCGCTGCAGCTTGCACCGCAGACAACTCAGACGAGCGACCCTCCGGTGCAACAAGCTGCCATTCACGTGAAGGCCCAGCCCCAAAGCGTTTCCGTCACCGCTGCTGCAGCGGCTGCTGTGTCACATGGCCAGATTCAGGCACCAGCTCAGCCGCAAGCGCAGCCCACAGCGCATGTGCCGGGGCAGATGACATCCCAGGTGGTGCCCTCTCAGACTCCATCCCAGCAGCAGGTACATCGGCGCAGTTAACTGGCGCTGTAGTCATCGTCGAAAGTCTGTTCCAAAGAGTGGAAATCCCTTTTGCTAACTCCCTTTCTTAAAGATAGAAATACGAGTTACCCCGTTAATGATAAATCCATATTCAAGCGGGCTCACTTTATTTTTATTTTTATTTTTTTTTAATTTTTATTCATGTTTTTTAGATAGCTCATTGTGTTCAAAAACTAACTGAGGCATGCGTTGTCAGCTGTTCACATCCATGGCCAGAGCAGTAATGCTTCCTTTCAGCAAGGGTGGATTTGGATAATTTATTTTCTGTTTGACTGGTACTCTAAGGCAGAATATCAACATATTATCATGTATCCCTTGAAACTGTTTGTTCTTCTGATCTTGTATCCAAATTTGTGTGTGTCCTTTGCAGATCACAACTCTGGCCCGGCCCTCATCCGACTCCAACCAAAACTCCCAGCGTCTTTCAGCAAATGTGATTCCTCCTACCTCAAACAACCCACCGACGTCTGTCTCCAACCCTGCCCCGCAAGCTACGCACTCAACCCAACCCAACCGGTCCTCACCAGGAACAAATAAATCAGCCTCTCCCGTTGCCTCCAAACCGCCAGGGTTGGCAGTGGCAGCAGCACCCAAAACCCAGAACACAGCACAGAACACCACAGCAGCCCTGCCCCAGGATAGTGCGCACGAGAAGTTGGCTGAGCAAGTTAAGTTGGTGAGAGTTTCCCTTTCCCATCTGATGCCAGAACAACACACTAGTGGTGTGCAAAATGTTTTGAATTTGAAGCTTTTGAGGCAGGAGTCTCTGTTTCGAGTTGAAAGAGCTGTGCTGACCTTGTTGGGAGGGTTCTGACCCTGTTCCGTGGCATTAGTACCATTCTGGAACAGTCTGGTCTGAAGCGTACAGGTCTTTGTTTTTATTTTAAAAACATGAATTAGCATATGATACAATCTGGATTTTTTCCCCTTACTTTCTGCGGTGGTTCCAGAATTGTCTGCCTTACTACTAGCAGTAGTGAACCAGAAGCACAATGTGATAGTTTTGTTGACTGTCACCCAACTACCCTGCATTTATGCAAAATAAAACCAGAGGTAGTTTCCTACACTGAGGTCTTTTGGGGCAGGTGGGAACATGAGCTTCCTGAACTCGCTACCTCCTGGTTTTCATCTTCATTAACTGATAAGTAGCTGTTTGTAAACTGTCCTGCCATTTTATTCAATAGCCTGAAAGATGATATTCGTGTTCCAGATTTAGGGTTTGAGCCGGCGTAGGCTCCTTGAGTATGTGTGCTCCGTAATGACTGCTCTGACTAAAGCTGCCTGCGTCTTTTGATGTCGCTGGAAGCCCTTGCCAGCGGCTCACTATTCTTGCTTGTTTGCTTTCAATAAAGGAAAACCAAGTCCACCAGCGGATAGCGGAGCTGAGAAAGGAAGGCTTGTGGTCTCTGAGACGACTGCCCAAACTTCAGGAGGCTCCCAGGCCCAAATCTCAATGGGATTATCTCCTGGAGGAGATGCAGTGGATGGCAACCGATTTTGCCCAAGAAAGAAGGTGGAAGATGGCCACCGCAAAGAAGGTCTTGATGGTGGTTCTTTGTCATTCCTTAGCCAAGTCCAGAATGAGGAAGCATGAAACAAACCAGGCCCTGACTTGCTTTGATTGCAATACCATAGTTTTCTGGGTCAGACATAAGGGAGACTAGTTAATAGGCCGTGAAGTGTTGAATCGTGGCACACCAAAGTGGGAGGCGTTGGTGTGAGAGGGAGCGGGAGGGTGCAAGGTTTGTATGCATCACCAGCTAACCCGAGATGTATTGATTTGTAGCTAAGTCAGGACACGTATTATGGCATGAGCTTTCATGGTTAGAACAGTGCTTGTATCAGCTGTTACTGTCGATGTAAACATGCCCATTTGTGCATTTTATTCCATGCACATGTTGTTCAAATACATACAATGTGTGGATTGATTGATTGATTGATTGGTTAATTGATTGATTGATTGGTTGATTGAATTTGTATGCTGCCC